CTGTTTCATGTTTTATCTCAAACATCTAAATCCTGGCAGAATTACTGTAAGATCTGCTTGTCGCTGAGAGAGATCCTGTAAAGCCTGCAAGGTACTATAGCAAAGTGATAATGGATAGGTCACCATAATTACAGTGTATTCACTCACACCGGCAGCTAGCTGTTTTACAAATTGTGTGGTTTTCATTTCCTTCATTTCAAATTCAGAGTTTCTTTTAAAACTGATGAAAAACATTTGTGGATTCACGTCCATGGATGCGTCAGCTTTAAGACAGTAAGCATTTGATATATTTGCCCCGATTTATTTGCTTTTTAGCTCTGGTTACTGTGGTAAAATCTGTTTATTCACATTTTTATTTACATATTGACAAAAAATCCATCCAGGTTTAACATCACTGAAGCCATTTGAGGTAAACCAGTGCTGAATTTATGTCACCGTACATCAACAATAACTCATGTTATGTAATGGAACACATCGGTCAAACGACTAGAAAAGAAAATAAAGCTGAAAAGTATATTCACTTTCTTTCTTCATTGGTAAAGTTTATTCAGAGTAGCTATAGACATTTAAAATAAGAAACTTTTTATAGTACCATTTCCCTTTTATAGTACCTTTTCCCCAACACTTACATATGGACTCACCACAGTTCAGTTTCTGATGCAAATCTGTTTGAGTGATAATTAATATTCAAATATAGGTAGAACAAAAGTGGGGTGGAGTGATTTCCATGTTCCTGCTTGAGTTCATGTCTTTCCTATGAGCTAAACCAATACTAGTGAGTCTGATCATTATCTCAGCTCAAGTAAATGCTTACAAATCATATAACTTTTGTCTTTGAGCATAATAAACAGAAGCAAAAGCAGATACCTATATTATCAAATATAGAATGTCTTCGGCATCTCCCAAAGGGGAGCTGTAGAAGGGTTTAGCTTCCTGCCTTACTTCTTTGCCCAAGTCACTCATTCCCAGATAGTAATTGAATTGTCCAGGAGAAATCAAATGTTCTTACAGTCTCATAACAAAGGTAGCAGGAAATGGTGATGCGAGGGGGAAAGCAGCCTGCAGTCTCTGGAGCTCCAGCCAGGGAGCAGAAGGAGGGGCCAGTCCTGCTGTGGAGCAAAGAGCCCCACCCAGGCCAGAGAGCATGCTGGGGGAGTCTGATTTAGCTTAAACCAGCAAGGTGCCTGGGACAGACATTGCATAAACTGGTTTGATCCAAATCAGTTAAGTCTGATACTGCATTCAACCAGGTTTATCTCAAACCAGTTTCAGCCATTCTCAAACTGGTTCATGTGCACTGACCATCTGTTCTGTTACAGGTTTAAACCAGTTTCTGATCACTTAAACCAGTTTGTGTGTGATGTCTGTCCCTAGCCGAAAAGTATCCTTCTCAGGGATAAAACAGGATGAGTTTGTCCCAAGAAAAATACAGCCAAAAATCAGGAGGGTATTTTAAACTCCATACCCACTTTGCTGCTGCTTCTTAGAATGTAAAGATTTTATATTGAAAATATGGCTTTTTGTCAAGAGAACAACATTTTGCTTGGTTTGCATCTTCTCCGTGCCAGTTATCGACAAGCTTGAATACACACACAAACAAGTTGTTATATTTTCAGTATGTGATCTTGTTTTGAATTGAAACAATCAGATTCACAAAATTTCTATGTGTTTCTTTTGTGTTTCCCCTAGTGCCAGGATTCCCTTACCCTGCTGCAACTGCAGCTGCTGCTTACAGAGGTGCACATCTAAGAGGCCGAGGACGCACAGTGTACAACACATTTCGTGCAGCAGCTCCCCCTCCTCCAATTCCAGCCTATGGCGGGTAAGTGGATCAGTCTCTTTACCTATTACCATATATCCCCAAAGGCTACAAACTGTTTGTGAGTGCAGTGCATGCTGGTCTTGTCTCACTACAGAAACCAACACAGCATGCAACCAATCCAAGTGCCTGAAGTGGTGCACCTTGCACAGAGTATTGAAAAATGACTGTAATTTGTACTGTCATGGTTGGTGGCGTTAAGCATTTTATATGTCACACATTGTTATGTAAATTCTCATAGAAACTGAATGCTATAACATACAGAAACTGTTACAGCTAAAAATGTATTTTTGATGATTGGAAACATCTGGTTATTAAGGAGGTTGGATGAAGTTAACTTTTCCCCCCCAAATCACTGACTGAATGTTATCTCAGGAACCCTAGGGTTCTTCTTCTTCTTGTAGTGTGCACACAAATTCACAAATTCAGTATTATTACATGTTTTATTTACTGACATCTCTTCAGAAGTCAGAAACTAGACTGCTTCTTTCAGGTTGAAATGCTTCCTCCTTCACTCAGTGATAGTCAGTAGGTTTAAAGCATATCTACTGGACCTGATCCAAAATGACTAAAACCAAATGTCCAAAGTAAAGAACAAAATAAGTCAGCATATAGTATGAATTTTTAAATAAACTTCACTGACAAAATTAAGAAACCATTTTAATATTTTAAAAATAAATATGTATTTATGGAGGATATGGAGCTAACATCTTTTTGTAGTCCTACAAATGCTGAAACAGAGGTCCCTGTAAATTGTATGTAATCCTTGTTATAAGTTACTTGCATTAAGACCTCCCTGAAGTGCTGAAACAACACTTTAACAGCACACTTTAAGAAAAGGACACAGTAGAAATACCTCTCTTTTATTTTGTAATTTCCCCACTAGCTTGTATTTCTGTCTTATAGTAGCCTTACTTTCCCTTTAAGCATGTATTCATTCAGTCAAAAAGGCAGACATTTTTCTAGGAAGCACAAGTACCCTTAGTCTGCCACTGAACTTCTTGTTTTTGCTGGCTGCATTGCCTATCCCCTCAAAATAGGGCAGTACTTGTGAGTTTTGTGAATTTTCCTACCCTATTCAAGTTCCCACATATCTGAATGCTTTGGAGTAAATCATGTTTCTCAGAACTACTGCATTTACCTTAATCCAAGATGACACTGAATTTTAGATCACCACCCCCCCTCCATCCCAGTAACTACACTCTGTATATGGAGCATTTATAATTTAGTTACAATTATCCATGTGTAGAATCTCATTGAGATTCTCTGCCCCCCCATCCCTGCAACATAATCCCTGACTACTGTGGTGAGGAAAGTAGTGGCAGGGGATCAGGTGATGCGGGGTGGGTAGGGCAGTAGGCATTGAGGTAGGTGCTGGAGGGGCAGGCACTGGAGGAGCCCAGAGGCAGGGCAGATGGTAAGGAAGGCAATGGGACGGTAGGAGATGGTAAGATGGTGGGGGAGAAAACTTGACCCCTGCCCTTTACCTCCTCCCACAACCACACACTTTAACCCCTGGTTCCTGTCCTGCCACGTCACTTTCTCCCCCTTGTGCCTGTCCCCCAGAGCCTTGGGCTTCCCCTTCTCCCTGTCTCCTCCCCCTACAATTTGGGCCCAAGTGGAGTTACTGCCTCCACTGCTGCTGTTGAGCCAGGCTGGAGCCAAAGAAAGCATATGCAGGGTGGAGCTTGTCAGTACCAGAGTAATGATAAGCAGTGGTGGGGGGAAGGAGGGGTGCAGAGGATGTGGGGAAGGGTGCAGATGGTGTGGGGAAGGGAGATGAGGAAAGAGGTGACAGACAGGATGGGGGGGCGAAGCTGTGGAGGGGGTGAAGTACAGTGGCAAGCAGAAGCTGTGGCTCCAGCCCAGACCCTGGATTAGGGTCAAAGTAGTAGTAACCCCCTGTCGTTCCTCCCCCTCCTCCCCCCACCAGTTACTTAGTTCAAAGACAAGGCACTGTTTTTTCCTAATTAAATGGGGCTGGGGGACTCATTTTGGAATCAAGTAAATATGGTATTATTTAAGGGAGTTGCGTCAAAATCATCCTGGCCCCAGGCTCCCTGTGGGCTGGATCTGGACCAGGCAGTGGCAGTGGCAGTGGCAGTGGTGGAGGTGGTGGCAGACTGAGTAGAACTGTGTTGACGCAGCCCTTGCTCCACCCGGCAGCCGCAAATAGCCATGCCCAACAGGACCTTTTCTCCTGGATTCTGTGGCAGGCCTGCCATATAGTCAATTCCTTTACCTGCCATATGTTTGCCACCCCTAATTTAAGGCACTGTTCAATCTCACTGATGGTATCTTGATGGGTGCAAATAGATGTTGCATTTGTTCTAGGAGAAAGCTTTTTTCCCAGAATTGTACAAAGGTATAATTCCATTATCCCACTTCAATTTTCTCTGAAGTATTCTAGATACAATATACCAATATTTTATCTTGGGATTTCATAAATTTCATAGATATTAGGGCTGGAAGGGACCTTGTGAGATCATTGGATCTAACCCCTGCCCAAAAGGCAGGAAGTCAGCTGGGGTCAGATAACCCCAGCATATTCTGTTGTATGTCTGAATGGTTACTGCAGTTCATTTCAGGGACAAACCTATCAGGCTGCATGCTCTTTCTGGCCACCTACATGGAAGGAGCAGCAATGCAGCTTGGATTGGTGATGTGTGTAAGTATCTGTGCCACTTCTGTTTTTAACCAGCCCAAAACCTGGGACAATCAGTCCCAGGTCCAATGAGGCATCTTCTTACAGCCTTGGTCAGTTATCTTAATTTCTCATGTTTTAAGTTTCCTTTGGATGCATCTGCCTGAGACATTTACTGCACAGTTGACTAATTAATTGCACAGTAAAAAAACTCAGCTTCTATACTAGTGCCCCTATTAGGGCACATGAAACTAATAAACTCCACAGCAGGGTAGTACTTGTAAATAAAAGTTACTACCCTGCTGCTGAGTTTTTTCATGCACAGCAGTGCATGTGTAAATGGTGACCCAGTTGGTTAGGGCATGAAGGTGCTTCAGTATGAGGACTGCCTGTCAGCTGGCCCTACACTGAAGCACCTTCATGCCCCAGCCAGCCCCTCTGCAGTACATTGATCCTGGTTGGAGCAATCCAGGCTGACATCCAGACCCTGTGCTAGCTGCGGCTGCTTTGACCTGGCTCAATGGGCTGTGGTCTGGGTGCACGTGTAAACCACACACACAGGAGCTTCCCGGGAGCAATAAACTGTGGAGCAATAAGCAATAACATGGGAAAGTTAAGAATAAACTTACATCTGAAAGTGACTTTTAGCCTTAACTATAATGATTGCTAGATATGATTGCTATAATATAGATTGGCTAGTACTTGGCAGCAGAAGAATTGAATTTTGAAGTGTATTACAAGCGTTGTCTTCATTGCAAAACTTCTATACAAATAGGTTCTGGAAAGATTCAGAACTATTCTCTGGGATGCTTGAGGTCAGTTATGCTGCAGGGGTCTCTTGTTATACAGCATGACAGTTAGAAACATTTGTGTGGGCAGGAAGAGATCTCTTCCACCTTACAAGCTTATTGATTCATAGACTTTCATTAAGGCTGGTATCTGTGAAGGCAAGAAGTGCTGTGGTGGGGTCAGAAAGATGTTACTTACTTCTTCTTAGTCTGTCAGATTCTTAACTGGCTTCGATGATTGCTGGTGAAGTGTCAAAGGTTAACCTCTACCAGCTGTTGTGGACTCAAATACAATTTGTCTTGTCAACACTAGAGTTTTTAAATGTATTAATTAAAATATGTAAATTAATTCAAAATAAGCCTTTGCAATATACTTTAGAGAGGCCCATACAGACATATCATTTAACTTTTGCATGCACCCATCACCAAAAAGTGATCATTTCTGATTTGTTTGTCTATTGTTCTTAGTTTAAAGTGAAATCATCATGTACATGTTACTTCTACTAGGAAGACAGAGTGGGGATAAAGAAATGTCAGGTAAACTTTCTTCAGATATCAGAGTGGAAACTGATTTCCTATAGTAGACAGAACTAGCAGAGCCTTCAGGGGAAAGTGGTTCTAGAATTACTGTCTCAATAAGTGTTTATGCAGCTGCCAAATAAGTAGGTATGATGACAGTGGACATTTCATTTTTTTCTTGCCACTTCAACATATGAATTATGATTTGCAAAACAGTGGCTATTTCCATTGACTTAAACAGGAACTATTGGTGCTCAAACATTTCAGCCTCAGACAGACGTTCATTTGAAGGCATGATGGGATCTGATTCCTGATCCCGGTAGTCATGCCTCTGGCCATGGTGCATGGCAGGAGGCACAACATGATTCCAGGCTCTCCCTGCACTGGCAGGTCGGGATCCCAACAATCAGTAGGTTATCGGCTGTCACTGAGGATCCATGGGACTATTGGGGCCCACAGACTGTCCCTGGAGTCCACCAACAATCAGCTGATTGGCGGCAGATTGGGACTGCCCCACAGTTTGAGCCTAGGAAAGTTCTGATCTGCTATGATCAGCTGATTGGGACTGCCCTAGGGCTTGAGCCCCAGACCAGGGCAGTCTAATGTGCAGTCAGCTGGCAAAAACCCGCCCAGGGCTTGAGCCCTGGGGTTTGACCTTGCCAGCTGACAATCAGCGGATCAGGATGGCCCCGAGGTTTGAACCCTGAAGTCATCCTATCTGCCATCAGTGGGCAAGGACCACCCCAGGATTCAAATCCCAAGGTGGTTCCTGCCAATTAATGATCAGCTGATCGGGACTGCTCCTGGGCTCAAGCCCTGGGTTGCTCCCTGTTACACATTCAGTTTGAGGTGCAAAGGACACCAGGTACAAAATCATTACACATATTTTGTGTGATCACTCTGTAGCTGGTGTCCTTTTTTATTGTGCCATTAATCACCTGGATGTGTGGCCAGTTTGCACTAAGTTGCAATTAACTGTTTAATCACATCTTAAGTGTAATGTCTGCCTGGGGCCTTCTAAACATCAGGTTTTATTATTTTAGTTGTCTGCC